TCTCCTCAGCTTGGGCCTTTTCTTTCACTTGTTAATTTCAGAAGCCATTTTAAAGCTGAGGTATTCATGCTGTACAGTTTTCATTTTTTACTCTTTTCTGGTAGTATTTTCCTATTTTTTTTCTTTCCTTTTTGCTTATATTTTTTAATCTTACTTTCTTACTCTAAGTTTTACTCTCCAGACACTTAATGTCTATATAGGCCTAGGTGCACAGTAGCCAAGCATCTAAATCTTTTTAGATTTACTGAAATCCTCAATGCTTATTGAATCTCCTACTTTAACAAAGAAATTTCTTTCTATAAATCTGAACTCTTAATCTTACTGTTTATACCACATTGCTAAGCACTGTGGAGGAGAGATTTTGTCACAGAATGACCAGAAACAACCACAGAGGTACAAGAAACATGAGAAACCAAGAAAATGTCTCTCCCGCAAGAGAAAAGAACAATACTTCATCATCTACAAACAGTACAGTAGAATTCTTGGAAATGTCTGATAAAGACTTCAGAATATTCATATTGACAAAACAAAATGAGATGCAAGAGCTGAGAGATAATGAACTCCAGAAGATTCAGGAGAAAAGAGACAATGAGTTCTAGGAGGTGTTGAAGTTCTTTCATGATATGAAAAAGGAAATACACACCATGAAAAAGAATCATATGGAGCTATTAGAGATGAATGCTGCCCTTCAGGAAATCAAAACGTCCCTCGAAAGTATTAAAAGCAGATTAGTCCATGCAGAAAACTGAATCTCGTATGTTGAAGGTAAAATCTCTGATCTAGGAAAAAAAAAAAAAACTGAGAAAATAACCCCCCAAAATGAGAATACTATACAAGAAATACTAGACAGCATTAAGCACCCAAACATTCAGATAACTGGAATCCCAGGAGGTGAGGAAACTAATAAAGGCATTGATAATCTATTCCATGAAATCTTGGAAGAAAACTTTCTAAATCTAAAGAGGCATTCAAATATTCAGATCCAAGATATACAAAAGACTCCTAATAGAATCAACACAAGAAGATCTTCTCCAAGGCACATCATAGCCAGACTGGTCAAATCTATAGACAAAGACAAGATACTAAAATTGACAAGAGAGAAACGTTAGGTTATAAAGGTTATCCTATCAGACTAACCTCAGACCTCTCATCAGAAACAATGCGAGCAAGAAAGAATGGGAAAATATATTCAAAGTGTAAAGTGAAAACCAGTTTCAACCAAGAATACTATACCCAGCAATATTATCTTTCATATGGAAAGAAAGAATAAAAACATTTTCAGATAAACAGGACTTGAAAGAATTTGCCAGTAGCAGACCCACTCTTCAAGAAATTCTGAAAGGAGTGCTTGACCAGTGAAACTAAAGATACATACAGAAATAAGAGAACAAAAGGCAACCAAGAAAATGACCAGTTTAATGCTAGGGACAAGAAATATCAGTAACAACGTAGAATGTTAATTCCCAGGATTTAAATGGAAAGATTGGACCACAGCAACACTGCATATTCAACAGAAGAGAGTTTGAACATAAGTCTGAACTGGTGAAATAGAATTTTATGAATTTTGAGTAAAGCATTACTGATCTATTTTTTACTATGCTTTGTTTTCCCAATTTAAATAGTTTACTTTCTTTTCAGTTGTTGATAGGTTCAGCAATATGTTAAAATATTTTTCTTGTTTGTTTCTTTAAATGGAAATATAAACTTTTCTTCCTTCCTGATCCCTCTGGAATTAGAAAATATTTGGGAATATTATTTTGTGGCAGAAGAGTTATGTGCATAAGTTCAGTAACGCTTGTCACATTGATTCAGAAATCAGAAATACTCATTATTGACAGCGCTTTGACTGGAATGTCATATCTGAAGATTAATTAGAAAACTATGGAACGAAGGTGGATCTCAATTAAGCTAACAGAAACTCTTAGAAAGATGGCCTGGTATCATAAATAGTTCTGCCTGGCAGAGAGGACTAGAGAAGATATATGAAAGAATTTATAACATAAAATAACCTGGACTTTTCCAGCCCAGCATTGTAATCTGTAGAGATTGCAAAAGAGCAATCACACCAGAGAATTATCTTGAGAAAGACTTTGCTAGCAGATGGTATATCACAGAATACACTTGAACAAAGCTGAATTGAGAAAGTTTATGTGTGACTAGTGTGCTGGGCATTTGCTTTTCAACAATTTGAGTAGCTGACATGTAAATATTTTCTCAAAAATATTTAAAACCATACTGTTTCTGTTGTTATAGAGTCACAAACAAAATTATACAAAATTATAAGAAATATTTTGAAATTTTGAAAGTTGTTTATTAACTTTCAAGAACTACAGAGTATGAGTTAAAATTTTTGATATGTAAAGTAAATATTTGTGGAAAAATGCAAAAAATAAATTAAAATAAAATTTAAAAAAGTTTTGTAGAATTCAGAAGAATAATAATAAGTGAAATTAAATAAATAATTCTTTTAAAAAATAAAAAATAATGATAATAAAAAAAGAAACACTAAGTAGTTATATATTCCTTTAACTAAAAGGATTACATGAGGAATTTTAGGTAGAAGGAATATTTTTAAATATCTCATATCTTCATGGCAGAAAAAAATTGCAGTCTCATGTAACAATCAGAAATATATTCATATGAATTTCCACGTAATATATCATAGATGAAGGATTGTGATGGATTACATCACAGCCTTACTAAATATAATGAGCATGTTCACATGCCATATATTCAAGTTCTGTCAGCAAGTAGCTGAGAATAAATGCAGGCTGAAAACAACATAATCCACTTTATAAATGCCTGAGAGAGGTACACCTTGCAAGGTCCATGAAAGAATATAGTTTAGTAAACTGGTGTTCCTGTGCCTGAAAACACTGACTCTGAGAGTCCCTTAGCACATAGCTAAGTAGCCTACAGCTCTTATTTGAGAAAGGGGAGTAAAGGGAGTAATTTTTGTTGTTGTTCATTTGTTTTAGATAACCCAAGAAGATCCATGACTTTCTTTTGTTTCTATTTTAAGGAATAAGAGCAATAGAAAGCCCCCTTCCCACTTGAACCCTAACCCCAACAAATTACATTTTAACATGTGCTAAAAAGAACTATAAACTATAAAAAGATAAAGTTCAACTGCTGAGGGGCAGCAAATAGTAAGCATTTTCTTACCTGATATGGCCAATCAATTCAATAAGCTTGTGACTGAAAAAATATGCTGTCAGCTCAGACACATGACTCAGAACTGAACAGACCCCAAAGAGGGTTGTAGTTCCATTCAGGTCTTCCAAATGCCAGTAGAGAAAAGTGAACACGAAGCCATATCCAAAACCCATAAACCAAGCCACGAACAACACGGAGCCATACTGCACGCTACAGAGCAGTTTGATTAAGTCCCAAAAGTTGAAGGTCTGCGAGTGGCTTGTGGTGGTTGGTGTCTCCTCAGAGGACTCTGTGGAGTTGTTCCTCTCCACCTGAGGGATCTCCACCTCTTTAAAAAAAAAGTCATTGTTACTGAAGTGGTTGTAGCGGAACCGGAACTGGGTAGCCACAATCAAAGCCATGGTCATGAGAACTCCAAAGACAATGAAGACGATCTGGTAGTTCCGGTACTCAGGAGCCTTACACCCCTTCCCATCAATGAGCACTTCTATGTGGGTATAGTCAATGCCAATGCCCACGGACAGCATGGCCAGGCCCCAGCCCAGGGAACCCCACATGCGCTGCAATCCGTAGCGGTCTCTGTGTTTTCCCAGATACTGGAGTGTTACTGTGTCTACAATCGTGACAGAAGAGGCACTGAAAAATTCTCCTATTATGACAACTACCAAGATCACCAAGAATATAGCTTCAACTTCTTGTTGGTCATAAACAAGAGTGACTTGGTCAGAAGGTAAAGATTTGGTGGTAGTGACAAAAGCAGTGGTTGTTTCCCTGGTTACATTTCCTAGGGGGGCAAGGGTGGCTGTGCTCGGGTTCAAGGTTGAGTCCGTAATAGGAACAGTAGTTTCATCTGTCTGTGGCTGTAGAGTGGGTTCACTGGTCTTGTTCGGAACCGTTGAAAAGATTACAGCATCTGAGATATTGGACCCTGTTTCTAACATTGATGGCCAACTAGAAGAAAGCAGGCTCCTTTTCTCATGCATTTTTGGTGACATGGTATGGAAAGAGACAACAGAAGAATTGGCTGGCAGGATGGTAAACAGGTGACTTGTGTTGGTGGGGTGAGCTGTTGGGGGAATCTTTGGTACACACCTCAAGGTAGCAGGTTTAACAAATCCAATGCCCAGGTTGAATAAAACCCAACACAGAAGAGAAAAGAGGAGAACAATTTTTCCTTTTTTAAAGCGATCTGCAACTACACCCCAAAAAGGGGCACTGCAGAATTCAATGAAGTATCGAATACCTACAAGCAGTCCACTCTGGCTTGGTGTCATTCCCAGCTGTTTATAATAGACAGGCAAAAGTGGATACAGAGAGCCATAGGCAGAATAAAAGAAAAAATAAAAGACCTTGGAAATTAGAAGATCATTGTTTATTTTAACGCAGTGTTTTTCTATCCAGTCTATTTCTTCCTCGGGAATAGCAGATGTTTCAGTGGAGGAGGGCGTTTCATTTGAAGGCGGTTCTGGTTCCCTAGAAATACCATTAAAGGGATCCGCAAGGACATATTTTCTCTTCTGTTCCTCTTCATCATCAGTTAAGATAGCAACTTTATCATCTGCCGCCATGGCTCAACACTACCATGAGAAAGTTTATGACCTTCAAAATTTTGACTGTTGATCTGCGAAGGAAAATTTAAAGATGACTTAGTATTGAAAAATCATAACATGTAAACATAGAACTTCACCTTACAGGAAACTACGGAGTATCATTCTGTAGCTAAAATAATAATGGCGAGAGAGAAATCTTATCATTGATCACTTGTAGCCATACAATACTGATAAAGAAAAACAGTTAAAAATAAATAAATAAATAAACTCTTTGTGGTTGCTAATAAATAATTCCATCTTCCAATGGCAGGTTTACAGCTCAGATCCATTCCCAATCTTTTCACTGATTTCCAGCAGAAATACACAAATAACAAGGGTAGCTTAAACCATTCAGTTCCTAGAAAAAAAATTAGGTTGCCCTTAACCACCACAAACGTAATGAGGAAGAGGAGCCAAATGCACTTCTGCAACTGCAGTTGGTCACTAGAACCAGGACAGAGACCTCATGAGGAAGTAATCTTCACATTGTTCATAGGAGGGGTCTTAAAAACATCTGTGAAAAAGGCTTAGTATGGAAAAACCATGCATGAATTTTATTTTAATCAAAATAAACTCCTACTTTAATTCACTTTTCCAAGAACTTTTTGAAGTCTCCCTGTATTATGTACGTATCTTTGGATGTGCTTTTATGGATTATAATTTAAGAAAATGTCAGGAGGGGCCAGTAGGCGGTACACTGGGTGAGGTGCTGGACTTCCCCCTGGCTGACTACAGGTCAAGTCCTGGACCTGGTGGCTTGAAAATCACACTAGGTATGTATGTATGCATGCCCAAAATCCCAAGAGGAGAGTGGAGAAGGGAGTGTGGCATGGCCATCCACCCTGGAGAATGAGTTCTCACTTTTCCTCTGTCTTGTTCTGTCTCTTTTCAGCAAGAGTATGCACCCTATGGCAAAAACCTTTAAAAAGGAAAAGAAAATGTCAGGGAAAAAATAGCAGATAACATTTATTGACCACTTCTTTGGCAAGATTACATTAAAGATATTTACAATTATTAAATCATATTCATCACAATATCCCTATTACTTTGTCCATTTTACAGATGAGAAAAATGTGAGATGGAGAGTATAATAATTGATAGAGTCAGGATGCCAACCTGACATTACAGCTTCAGGACAGACAGACTGATACACTACACCAAACTGCCAAATACCATATTTTAGATAATAAAATGCTATTAAATCCTTTTAAGAGACAGGATGTGGGACCAGTAGATGGAATAGCAGTTATGTCACTGGACTTCCACACAGCCCACTGCGCTTCAGTCCCAGACCCATGGCTTCACATTCACACCGAGAGCATGTGTGTACATGCCCAAGATCCCAGGAGGAGAATGGAGAAGGGTTTGCAGCGTGGCCATCCCCCCAGGGAGTGATTTCTCGCTTTCTGCCTCTCTTTCTCTGTCTCTCTGGAAAGTGTGCATGCCCTATAGCAAAAATCTCTTTTAAAAAAAAAAAGGGGGGGGAGTCCTTCATATGGGATATTAACAATGTTTCCATGTTACAGATTTATAAAAATTGTGCCACATTCCATGAGAATTTCCTTTTCAACAATTATACAAGTAATTAAAGAGAAGATGTTTTGTTTAATAAAGACTTATAATGTCTAGCCAAGCTGGATCCCACATAACCAACTTCATGGTCCAAGTCCCAGATATGGCAGCTTGAAAATCAGGCTGGGTATGTGTGTGCATGCCCAAATCCCAAGAGGAGAATGGAGGAGAAGGAATTGCAGTGTGGCCATCCTCTCTGGGGAGTAATTTCTCTCTTTCTCTCTCTCTCTCTAGACCACACCGGCCCCATAGCAAATAAAGAAGATTTATAATGACAAGTTGTAATGAATGTACTTCAGTGATAGTGGGTGTCTACTTTAAATACTTAATTCCTTTCACCTTTTCTACTAGAGAGAAATAGCAATTTCACTTGCCAAACTGTAGAATAGATCTTGCTCTCTTTTCCCGAAAATGAAGAATAACATTCTGAAAGTTCCAGAATCATGCTTGTAAACATTTTAAATCTCTACAAAGCTTCCAGGCAGACAACAGAAACACATCTAATGAAGCCTGTATCATTTTATCTTTTATCTCCACCAAAAACCAGGTGTCAATGTAGCTATAAGCCTTGAAAACGTGCATGCATTTTCTTTTCATTTTAAGTTCATTTTTTTTCCTTTGCAGTAAAATCCACATTATATAAAATTGTCTATTTAAAAGTGAACAACTCTGTGAAATTTGGTGTTACATATTCACAAGGTTGTATGTCTGTGACCACTTCTACCTACTTCCCAACTCATGCTTTTCTTCATGGTGAATGAAAACTTTTCTCCCAGAAAACTTGAAGAAGAAAAACCAAACTCCAATCTGTCATGCTGCCTAACTACGAGAAACTTTTTCGATATCCTATATTAACTGTGCCTTCATCACTACTGCCTTTGATTATCCACCTCAGCCGCTCCAGTTCCATTTCTTGGACTTGTTTTCTAAATTGATTTAATTGGAAGAAATGCTTTATTTTGTTTAAAATGTATAAAATTATATGACACTGGGTGAAAAGGATATATGGAACCCATCTAGTTTGAATATTTCCCTAGACACCATTAACATGACAGTAAGCACACACACACGCACATGCACACATAAAGACACATTTTTTTTAAGTCAAAATCCAAGATAGGAAGAGCCAAATGACATATAATAGCAATAACATATAGAAACAACTTAAGATCACTGGTAAGTGACTTAGTAGATCTGAGAAAACTGAAACTTCGACTATTAGTGGTGAAAGCCAAGAACTGGTACAATTTACAACTCAGAATCTCTCAAGAGTTCATGAATTGGCCATATTTTATGTACCTACAAATAAATATATATGTGTACTGGGGAGGGGGGGTTCTACAATAATACACTTGACTGAAAGTCTGAACCCCAACTTGGAGTGTCTAAACCTTTCTCCACTCCACATAACTCGCCAAACCACTGTTCCCCGCCGCCCCCACTGGAGAGGACTGTTTTAATCTGCTGTATTGACAATAAAAGAAATGCCTGAGACTGAGCAATTTATAAAGAACAGAGGCTTATGTATCTCACAGTTTTGGAGGTCCTAGGTCAAGGGCCTGCACCTGGTGAGGGCTTGTTGGTGAGGACTCTGCAGAGTCCTGAAGTGGCACAGGGTATCCAGGGCAAGAGTTTGTGGGTCAGTGCCTTTCTTGTTTCTCTCTTCTTATTATAAACCCACCAGGATTCAGTCACGTGGGGCCCCACCCTGAACACCTTAATCCTTTTTAAAACCATGTCTCTTACGTGGTCAGATAAAGTTTTTACCCACTCAATCCCATCACAACCAAATTTCATCTCACGCATTTTGAGAGTACACATTCAAACCAAAGCAAGGATAAAAGAGAGGTTCTTTGGTGACAAAGCACCAGACAGAGTTGACAGTAGTGATACTGTGCTGCAAACAGGCAAACAGGAAATGTACCTACTGGAGTCCGGGTCCTGGCCCTGCCCCAGTCTCATCCCATTTCCCTCATCAGGTTCTTAAGGCTGGCAAGCCTTTCACCCTCTAGGCAGGAAACCAGAAGGCTTTTCTCTGGAGATCTGATTAGACTAAGAAGAATGTTCTCTAGATGCTGATGTTGAAGCCTTCCCAACTAAATAACCCAACCAAATCACCTTTCACAGGAGTTCAGAGTTAGCGAGTGCTTTCAGTAAATGTGAGTGGTACACAAGACTCACAAAACTTTTGAAGGAAGTATGTAACATGAAAATAGAACCAAAACAAAGAGGAAAGGAATCAACATGGAGAAAACTAGCGACATGAGGAGGAAACAGTGTGTGTGTGTGTGTGTGTGTGAGAGAGAGAGAGATATCTTCTAAAACAGGAGAAAATAATTCAACTATGAAATAGTAATGAATATTTTTAAAGAAAGAGGAGGATGGGACAGGTAAAATGAAAGATCAAAGGAAAAGGCTCTGGAAATGATAATATCATAGAATAAATGAAAAATGAAAAGATGAAATGAAAGAAAAATGAGGCAAATTCTTAGAAAAAAAGAGAGGAAACAAACTATTGATAGATGGAGTAACCTGAATGAATCTCGAGAGAAAAAATAAAGAATAAAAAAAGCCCATCTCAAAAGAGTATATTTTGGGAGCCGGCCAGTGGCATGGTGGTTAAGGATCCTGGACTCCCACATGGTGGACCACAGTTCAAGTCCCAGACCTGGCTTTCTCACTTTCCCTCTCTCTTTTACTCGCTCTGTCCCTCTCTGGTCAAATTAAAATAAATAAATAAAGTTAAATAAAAATAATTCTTAAAAAATGTATATTCTGTATGATTCTAGTTCTGTAATGTTTTTGAAGTGACAAAATCATTGAAATGGAGAAGAGATGAGTGATTTCTGAGATTCAGTAGTGGGAACTGAGGGCGACATGAGGGATCCTGGTGGTAACAGACAGAAATGTTCTGTATCTTGACCGTATTGATATCAGTTGTGCTACTGTATTGTAGTTTTTCAAAATATTACCATTGGGGAAAAGTGGTCTTAGGATATAATTTCTTACAACTGCATGTGAACCTAGAATTCTCTTAAAATAAAGCTTAATTGAACACAAAAGGTTTGTGGTTACCCTTGAAGTGGTAGTGACTAGGAAAAGCTCTAGGGTGCTAAGGATATTATGTTTGTATTTGGATCTGTATTTTATGGACCTGTTCACTTCGTAAAAGGTCACTGAATTGAATTACTCTACAACAACAACAACAACAATAAAAGCTTAAAAATTCAATATACAAGGAAGGAAAAAAGGAATAGATGAAAGTAACAGAGAAAAGGTGAGCCAAATACAGGAAGATCATCCTTTTCTCAATTATGATGAGTTGGAACACCAGGAAGCAGCTATGCACCAAACAGAAAATGCAGCCAGTCTAGTGGGAACATGTCTGACGGTGCCAGGAGAGATTTTGTCAGCAAGATGACACTGGTAGAATACATATTCTTCTGACTGTCCTAAGAAAACAACCTGTGAAGAGTTGAGC